TCAATTAAATAAATAAATAAAATATAAAAAAAAAAAAGTTACAAGCGTACCACATGCTTGTAGTAAAACCTAAACAGTTGAGGTAAAACTGAAGCTTCCAAGCCCTTGCTGTTCTGCCCGCGGGCACGCTCTCACACGTGCCCACGTACAGGTCCTGCTGGGTATTGGTCGGGCAGGCCGTGCTCTGCTGAAGAGCCATGTGCTCATGTCACTGGAGGGTTTCTGGAAGGGCTGGGGCCTGGCCGGATTTCTGTTTGAGAGAGGTCTTGTGTGCTGGCCGGAAGGGAGGGGACCGGGGAGGGAGAGGTAGTTCTCCAAGGAGCCTCCCCACTTGGGTGTTAAGTTCCTCCAGCCTTCGGTTTCTTTTCTCTTACCTGCCAGGGTGTCCTGTTGCTGCTGGGGGGTGGGGGCAGGTAGGGGGCTCCCTCAGGTGGACCCAGGGAGCAGGGGCAGGGTGCATGAGCTGGGTGGGAGGAAGTAGCACTTGGGGCTGCCTGTGTCTGGGGATTACCTGCAGAACTGTGGTTCTTAGCCGGGAAGATTTCATCCTCCAGAGACTCGGGAACAGGAAAAGGCCACCTCGGGTTATCTGGACACCCCCCCATGCTCCCCCTCCCTGGCCAACACATGCTAACACATTTGTTCATTCTTGGCAGTTGCAGAATGCCATTAAAGACCTAACAAAAGGCCCAAGCCATTGGTCTCCCACTGCTGTGGCCCAGGCTTGTGCAGGGACTGTCACAGGTGCAGGGAAGCAAGTCCTGCCAGCAGAGCACCTGTTAGTGGTCTGAAAGAGGCTGTGTGCTTGTCCTCTACGAGCATTTTCTACATTGTCCCGGGGCCGTAGAGTGGGACTGGCAGATGTTTTCTGAACAGGGCCAGAGTCAGCATTTTCAGCTCTGTGGGCTGGAAGTCTCCATCACAGCTACTCAACTCAGCCGTCACAGTGGAAAGCTGTCACGGACACTATGTAAAGGAATAGGCCAGGCCGCATGCCAATAAAACTTTATTTATACACATGGAAACCTAAATTCCTGTAATTTGCCTGTGTCGCAAAATTTCTTTTTCTCCCGCCCACCCCCCCCTTCGCCATTTAAAGGTGTAAAAACTATCCTGGGCTTGCAGGCTGGACAAACACAGGCGGTGGGATGGAATTTGGCTTGTGGGCCTGAGTTTGCAGACCTGGCTGTAGATAAGTGCCTTATTAAGACAGATGGACATGGGCCCGCATGTGTGTGTGTGCACACACGGACGTGAAACACTGCATGGACTTAGTACTTTTATTTAGTAATCTCTACAACCGTGGTGCTCGAACTTCCACCCTGAGATCAAGAGTTACGCGCCCCAGACAGCCGGGTGCCCCAGAACTCGGTACTTTAACCAAGACACTTGAGGAGACCGAGACCGTGGCCTGGGAGCCCAGAGCAGGGTCAGGACGGGTGAATCCAAGGGGCTGCCAAAAATCTCGGTCGTGGAGACAAGCAATATGATGTATTTTTACTTACTCAACCTTATTTCTTGGGGGGGTGTCTCAGACTGTTAAAACCCCGACTCTTCTGGAAAGTCCCACCTCCCAGAAGCTCCTCTGTCCCTGGGCAGGGGATGGTGGTTACCTGACCACGTCGCAGGTCCTTGGCAGCTCCCTGCAGCCCCCTCTGCTCTGGGGCCTTTCCCGTGGAAGGGGGGGTCCCGGCTGCTCCTGCACCCCATGTGGCCTTCCGTGTCTGGTTCCTCCCTGAGCGTCGTGGGCTCGGGGTCCATCCCCGGGGCAACGCGTGAGTGCGCCTTGCTCCTGCTTGCGGCCGCGGGACGTGCTCGTGGGTGTGTGGATACACTGTGTGTATCTGCTGGTCCATTGATGGACGTTTGGGTCGCTTATACCTTCCGGCTGCTGTGAACTGTGCCGTGAACACGCACACAGGTTCATGTGCGTGCACGTGTTACTTCCACCGCGCCGGTAGGTCCCAGCAGTGGAGTCACAGGGTTACAGGGTCAGCTGCCCGACCCTGGCGGCTGGCCCGTTTTCCACTCCCACCGCTGTGTGTGGAGGTCCTGATTTCTCTGTGTTGCTGTATCTGTTATCCTTTGTCTTTTTGACTCTGGCCATCCTAGTGGGGTGGAGGGGCTCTCTCACCGTCCTGGTTTGGTTCCAGGTGTTTGTAAACGCCTGTGCTTGGCCCTCTGCACATAGACATGGGGGGATGGGGGAAGGTTGGGGGTAACAAGGCCACGGAAAGCATGAGCTGTGTGCCCAGCTGGTGGGTGACTGGGGTGGGGGACAGGGGACCTGGGCAGGTCGGGCCGCCTGGGGTCACCCTGGGGTAGGGGGGCTGAGCTGGCGGGGGAGGCCTCCGGCGTCAGTAGGAGCTGTGTCCAGCCCAGGAGCGCCTGCTGTTGGTGGAAAGGGATTTCTCCATGATCTGGGCCTTGCTGCACCCCCTCAGGTGAGCGGCATCAAGACGCTGTATGAGTCGGAGCTGGCCGATGCCCGCAGGGTGCTGGACGAGACCGCGCGGGAGCGGGCGCGGCTACAGATCGAGCTGGGGAAACTGAAGGCTGAGCTGGAGGAGGCGAACAAGAGGTAGGTGTGCAGCTGAGGTGTGGTGCGTCCCCGTGGCCCTGAGCCACACCCAGACACCCTTGGTGCGGGGTCATGCGGGCTGGCCCCTGGGGGGTGAGGGTGCTCTGTGGCCTGGCCCTCTAGCTGGCCCTTCCCACCACCTTTGGGCCCCGGCATAATTCAGCCCAGAATGTCCTAGGCTTGGAACCACACGGTGTGTGGCCTTCTCAGCCCGGCTGCTCTCGCTCAGGGCTGTGCCGCTGAGGTGCCTCCAGGGAGGAGGTTCGCTGGAACAGAGCAGAGCGCAGAGGTAGCCCCACAGCCCAGGCGCCTGGTCTTTGGCCAAAAGGGGCAAAGGCCATCTGTAGTTTTAAGTGGCCAGGTAGCCTGTATCCCACCAGTTTAGTAGGTTTGTTAATTAAAAAGTGATTTGTGCTTCTTTGGGAAGATTGAGGAAATTCCAGAGTCAGCACTGCCCGAGACCCCAGCTGCTCTGCCTGGGATCAGTGCAGATTCCAGAAGCCTCCGGATGCCAGGGATCCTGTGTGTGGCTCCTTGTCTGGGCCCAGGAGTCTTGTTTTTTCTGCTTGGCAGTCACAGATGCTCACTGGTGAGAAAGTGGAAAATGCAAGATAGTGTAAAGAGAAAAGTAAAAGTCTACAGCGGCCTTGCAGCCTTCCCCCAGACAGAGCCACCGTGGCCGGTCTGAGCGCCCCCGCGCACCTCCATAAACTCATGGCGGACGCCGGAGACAATCGGGGAGGGGACTTTGGAGGCCGCGAGCCTTTCACGAACGTCCGCCTGGGTCATCAGGTGTCCTCTGTGCCGGGAATCTGTCCTGGCCGCCGGGATGTTCCCGGGCCTGGGGCTGGCTCACCAGGGGTGCCGTGGCTGTGTGAGGGAGGACCCGACAAATAGGCCACATTCTCCCGCTTAATCCTCCGGGACTTACTGTTACACAGATGAGGAAGCCGCGTTCACGCCTTGAAGCTCGTGAGACGTGGCCAGTGAGACATAAGCCAGTGGGAGCCACCAGTGCCCCTGCTTTCTGGGCCATTCTGCGTAGTTCTGCAGAATCCAAATATTGGATAAAGTTGTTTAGAAATTTCCCACATTGGCGCCTGGCTGACTCAGTTGGAAGAACATGTGATGCTTAATCTTGGGGTCATGAGGTCAAGCCCTACACTGGGTGTAGAGATTATTTCAGTGAACTTTTTTTTTTTTTTAAAGATTTTATTTATTTATTTGACAGAGAGAGAGATAGCGAGAGCAGGAACACAAGCAGGGGGAGTGGGAGAGGGAGAAGCAGGCTTCCCGCCGAGCAGGGAGCCCGATGCGGGGCTCGATCCCAGGACCCTGGGATCATGACCTGAGCCGAAGGCAGACGCTTAACGACTGAGCCACCCAGGCGCCCCTTAAATGAACTTTTAAAAAAAAGAAAAATTTTCCACATCACCTGATGCCTCTGTTTCTGTTACCCTGGTTTTGTCACTGATCTCAAACTTGCCAGGCATACCTCACCCCAGGGCCTTTGCACTTCTGCTTCCTCTGCCCGAATGCTCTTCTCCCGGAAATAATGGATCTGGCTCATTCTTACACTCCCCTCATCCAGGTCTATTTCAAGGGTGACCCCCAGTGGGGCTTGTGTGCCTTAAAAGTGCGGTTCCCACCGGCTTGTGCTCATCCCTCACCTCCCGTCCCGCTTCCTCTGCCCTCCTAATGCAGATTCGCATCTGACAGGCGGCACGCTTCACTGCCATCTCATCGCACGAGAAAGTTCTGCATCAGGAGAGCAAGGGTGTTCCCTGGTGTATCTCTGGCGCGAGGGTGGCATTCTCCACAAAGTGGGCCCTCAGTAATGGGTGTCAAACGAATGATTCGTTTCCCCAAAACCCTGCAAAACCTGCTCTAGGGGCTCAGGTTGTGCAGCCCCCAGCCCCATCGTGGGTGGGAGAGCAGGACCGTGCGGCGTAAGCTCAGGGACGAGGACTGCAGGGACCCTGAGACCCTCGTGGAGGAGGGCGGTAAAATGCCCCAGTGGAGCTCCGTGTTCCCAGGGCTGCTGTGGAGAACACGGGCAGCTTGGCGGCCGAAGTCACTGGTCTCTGCACCACCCCCCTCGTGCAAGCTGATGCTGCGTCCCCAGTGGTTCTCACTGGGGCCGGGGGGGGGGGGGGGCACCAAGATGCTGCTCGGCCCCCACAGCGCCACCTTGTGAGCAGCGCTGGGGGGAGACCCTGGGTGTCCCCACTCTTGCTGGGGATGGCTCTGTCAGCTCCCGGGTGGAGAGGTGGTATGCATTCAATTCCAAGAAGATGGAGGATTCCTTTAAGAAATGTTCAAGAGCCTCAGACCCATGCTAGTAATAGCTGGGCGTTAAAGAATCTATTTGCCATCTTTAATATTGGGGAAAATTGTCTCCTAGAATATCAGATGAACCTGCTTAAAGTAGCTGAAGTTTACAAACAAGATCGACTTTTCAAAGGCCAGGATTTTAATATGCAACTTTAATAAATTATACGTTAACTTTTTAAAAAATCGTTCTCCCCTAAATGATCCCTCCTGTGTCGAAAAATCACCAAAAAATGACATTAAAGTTCTTTCCTTGAGGCTTTTTTGAGTGCTTGTATTTGTTAGCTGGTGGAGTCCTGATGTGCAGAGCAGGTTTGAAGAAGGGGCAGCTTTTTGGGCGACAGCCCGAGCCCCGTTACCCCAGAGCAGATGCCCACAGCTCAGAGGCCAGAGTGAGCTGGTCCCTGGGCTTCCTGGCGCTGCCTGAGGGGCCCCCTGTAGCCCCCCCACCCCCAGCTCGCCCCTCGTGCTCCTGCCTAACGCCCGCTCTTGACTTGCAGCTCCAAGAAGAGGGAGGGTGAGCTCACGGTGGCCCAGGGCCGCGTGAAGGATCTGGAGTCGCTGTTCCACCGGAGCGAGGCAGAGCTGGCCGCTGCCCTCAGCGACAAGCGCGGCCTGGAGAGCGACGTGACTGAGCTGCGGGCCCAGCTGGCTAAGGCAGGTTTTGGGCGGGTTTCCCCAGTCTGGCGGGGAAGCTGGGGGCCGGCGAGAGGGCTGCGGGCAGCGGGCGGATGTCCTGGGGGGGGGGGGTGAAGCCTGGGCCTGGGATGCCAGCGGCTGCCCGGTTTCCAAGCCCTCGACACCCTCTGTTGGAGTGTGTGTATTTAAGGGGATCCCTGGGCCCCGAGAGGCCACACGGTGCGGCACACAGTGTCACCTCAGCCTGCTGTCGTGTCTCCCAGGCGGAGGACGGTCACGCGGTAGCCAAAAAGCAGCTGGAGAAGGAGACGCTGATGCGCGTAGATCTGGAGAACCGCTGCCAGAGCCTGCAGGAGGAGCTCGACTTCCGGAAGAACGTCTTTGAGGAGGCGAGTCTCAGGGCCGACCGCACCCCCACACGGGAAAGTTCGTGGCCTCCCACTTCCCGGAGGGCAGAGCCACGATCGGGGTAGGCCGGGGCCGTGCTCCCTCCGGAGGCTCCAGGGGAGGGTCCTGCTGCCTCTCCCAGCCCCGGGGTGGGGAGTGGGGGGCTCTAGGTGTCCCCCGAACTCGTGACCATGTCCCTCCATCTGTGCTTCTGCCTTCACATGGCCTCTCCCCCGTCTCTGCTCTTCTATCTCTTATGAAGACACTTGTCATTGGTTTAGGCCCCACCCGGATGATCCAGAAGGATCTGATTTGGAGATTCATTAATCCCATCCGCAAAGCCCCTTTTCCAAATAAGGTCACACTCCCCCTTCTGGGGATTAGGACGTGGACACATCTTTTGGGGCGCCACCATTGAACCCACAGCAGACCCTCTCTGTGAAAGGGAAGGGGCGGGCCCCTCTGCTTCTGTTGCTTCCTGGGTCCCCCCCCCACAAAGCTCTGAATCCCTGGGCCTGGGCTCGGGGGTATGGCGGGCCCACCTGGGAGTGAAGGACATTCCTGGCAGAGCTGGGTTTCTGTGTCTTCTGGGAATGGATGTGGCGTGGGGCCCCTCCCAGCTCATCATCACAGAGCTCATTGTCCTGTCACGGCCCAGAATGGAACTCCGGGGCCAGCCGGTTCATGCACTCAGTGCCCCGGGGGAGCTGCTGGTAGGAAGCATGCCTGTACAACGGAGGAGCGGTCTCCAGCTGCAGCCAGGCCCCGCCCGGACCAGGGCCAGGGCAGCTGGGGAGGAGCCCCTGAGGGAACCCCTGAAGGCACCCTCCAGAGCCCTGAAGCCTTCGAGGGGGTCTGTATGGGGCCCCGAACTTGTGAGGAAGGATCCCAGGAAGAGAGCCATGCGGGGACCTGTGAGGGGAGCCCGAAGGACACCCTGGAAGCGCTCCTGGCGGGGCTCCCTGAGGCCGGTGGCCAGGAGCTCCTGGCAGGGAGCCATGCAGGGAGACTTGCGAGCGGCCATGGGGGGCTCCATGAAGGTGGGTGTGCTGGTCCTGGACTCCCCGAGCTTCATGGCTGGCTTCCTTGAGAAACATTGCTATTGTTCTTACAAGCTGATGGCACAGGGTGGTAAGCGACTGCTCTCTGTGCTGGAGTGAGTTTCTTGGAGGAAAGGGCACTCGCCTTTCCTTGGAGCCCGGGGCTGGTGAACAGCACCCTCTGCCCGCACCCTGAGCCCACCCTGTGCGCCTGGGCCCAGACCTCCCGCTGGTTTGTTTAGTGCTGCTGTGGCGGCCATCCTCCTTAGGGCCGGGTCTCTGTGCCTCGGACCCCAGGTGCCTGAGACGGGCTTGGCAGGAATTCTTTTTTTTTTTTTAAGATTTTATTCATTTATTTGAGAGCGAGAAAGAGAAAGCATGAGTGTGCGAGCAGGGAGAGGAGCAGAGGCAGAGGGAGGGGGAAAGAATCTCAAGCCGACTCCCCACTGAGTGCACAGCCCAACTTGGGGCTCGATCCCACTACCCTGACATCATGACATGAACTGAAACCAAGAGTTGGATGCACAAGCCAATGAGCCACCCAGGTGCCCCTTGTCAGGAATTCTTTTAACCACCGCTTTATTGCAATATTCCTGTGCCATGAAACTGTTAAAGTGTACAAGTTGGTTGGTTTTAGTACATTTAGAGAGTTGTGCAACCTTCACCTCTGTTTAACTCCAGAACATTCTGTCGGCCCAAAACGAAACCCCGTCCCCATCAGCGGTTACTCCCCGTCCGGCCCCCGCGAGCCCCCTTCCTGTCCGCGGATGAGCCTGTTCCGGACATGTCACCCACGTGGACTCACACCCCACGTGGCCTTCCGTGTCCGGGTCCCTCCCTGAGCGTCCCCGCCCCCATCAATGGTCACTCCCCACCTTCTCCCCCGCCCCCTGAGCCCCCTTCCCGTCCGCAGATGAGCCTGTTCCGGACGTGTCACCCACGTGGACTCACACCCCGCGTGGCCTTCCGTGTCCGGGTCCCTCCCTGAGCGTCGTGGGCTCGGGGTCCGTCCCCGGGGCCGCGCGTGCGGGCGCCTGTGTTCGTGGCCGAGGGACGCTCCCGCGCGTGGGGGACACTTGCTTGTCAGCTGGGGGCCATCGGGGCCGTGTCCGCTCTGTGACTCACGCCGCTGTGACTCTCCGGCGGCTCGTCGTCTTGAGCGCTCACGTGGACTTGGGGCTCGGGTTGAGGACACTGGTGGCCCCGAGGCCGGGGGCCCAGGGCCGGGCGCTGCCCGCCGCGCTGACCGCCGCGCTCTGGCGCAGGAGGTGCGGGAGACGCGGCGGCGGCACGAGCGCCGCCTGGTGGAGGTGGACAGCAGCCGGCAGCAGGAGTACGACTTCAGGATGGCGCAGGCGCTGGAGGAGCTGCGCGGCCAGCACGACGAGCAAGTGCGGCTGTACAAGCTGGAGCTGGAGCAGACCTACCAGGCCAAGGTGCTGGCGGCGGCGGGCGGGGGCGGGGGGGAGCTCCCGGCCCGCCGCCCGCCCGCCCCTCACACGCCTGTCCGTGTCCCTCCAGCTGGACAGCGCCAAGCTGAGCTCTGACCAGAACGATAAGGCCGCCAGCGCCGCCCGGGAGGAGCTGAAGGAAGCCCGCATGCGGGTCGAGTCCCTCAGCTACCAGCTCTCCGGCCTCCAGAAGCAGGTGACTCCCGAGGGCCTGCCCGCGCCTCGGCCCTGCCACCGCTGCGGGACCCTCCTTCTGGCGCCCGGGTGTAGACGGCCACGAACGGCGGTGTGGGTGATGCACCACCCCTCCCCTCCTGGCCCGGGGAGGGGCGCTGTTGGGCCCACCGACCACCAGAGCCCTCGTGCTCTGGGGCCTGGTCTCTGCCCGCGCCTCCCCCCGCCCCCCGGGCCTCCTGCCCGCTTTTGGTGCCCGTCCGCACACGCAGCCCGGTGGGCTTCTCTGCGGGACCCGCAGAGGCCGCCCTGACCTGGCCGCCCGGACTCCCCCCGCCGCCCGCCAGGCCAGTGCCGCAGAGGACCGGATTCGCGAGCTGGAGGAGACCATGGCTGGGGAGCGGGACAAGTTCCGCAAGATGCTGGACGCCAAGGAGCAGGAGATGACCGAGATGCGGGACGTGATGCAGCAGCAGCTGGCCGAGTACCAGGAGCTGCTCGATGTCAAGCTTGCCCTGGACATGGAGATCAGCGCCTACCGCAAGCTCCTGGAGGGCGAGGAGGAGAGGTGGGCGTGGTCTCGAGGGAGGGAGGGAGGGG